ATACTAATGAAACAGCATAATGAAATTAGAGAAAGTGTGGCAGGCCAAAATTCTAAAAAGAATATAATTGCAGGCCTGACATAGTCTTTTTTAGGGCAAAATGTCAGGTTAAAAAAAAATAAAAAGTTCAGGGAGAAAAGGCAATTTTAGCCCAGCTGAAATTTCCCAAACGTGCTTTTTTTCAAAAAGGAACTGCTCTTTATTTTTCCTTGAAGAGGTTTCGCTTCTCATCCAAGAAGCTGCTTCGGTTCTGCTCCAGGACTGAAGACTCCAGAATCGAAGAAGCTCCTTGAATGAGAAGCGAAACCCCTTCAAGGAAAAGCAAAAGTTCAGTTGTCTTTTGAAAAAGCACCTTTTGGGACTTTTTTTGTTTCACAGTTACACATCTTGTAAGATGTTGAGAGTTGTTAATTTTATGGTGGGGACAAATTGAATGAATCAATCAACGAAACCATATTATGTCTTACTTAGGACAGTGTTGGCAAACCTTTTCGGCACCAAGGGCCGCACACCTTTCGGTAGTCCGCACACCTACCACAAACCAGAAGAGCAGCCGTGCAGTGCGCATGCGCACTCTGGGAACATGATTTTCCAGTTTCCAGTGCATGCATGCACACCAGCCAGCTGCTCTCCATGTGCGTATTACGCATGCCAGAAACTGGAAAACCAGGTGGCTGGGTGCTCAGGCATGTGCCGGAAAATCATCTTCCTGGTGCGCACATGTGCTGTGGCTGTTCTTCCAATTTCTGGTGCTCCCGCGCACATGGAAGACCAGAAGCCAGAAGAGCAACAGGCAACGGCTCGCATGCCCGGAGAGATGGCGCTGTGTGCCACTTCCGGCACACATGAATAGGTTTGCCATCACGGCCTTAGGATATAAAATAACAGAGTTGGAGGGGACCTTGGAGGTCTTCTAGTCCAACCCCCTGCTCAGGCAGGAGACTCTATGCCATTTTGAACAAATTGGTTGTCTAGTTTCTATGGGAAAGCCTCCAGAGACTCACAGCTTCTGAAAGCAAGCAAGTTCCATTGGTTGATTGTTCTCACTGTTAAGAATCTTACTCCTTGGGCCTATTGTGTAAAGAAGAAGGAACGATGATTTCCTTCCGTCCTTCGCCGGGGCGTGTATTAAACTGCCCTGGCAACGAAATCAATCCAAGGCCCTTTATTTAAAACCGGCTTGACCTGAAACTTTCAGATGAATTGGCTATAAAAACGATCCGTTCCCAAGTTATCTTTTTCCATCAGCTGGAAACATTTCAGATAAAAGGACCTAGAGGGTATTTACTTTTGGAAGAGAGAGAATTTCTATTTTGGGAGATCCGTTCAGATCTGGAGTAGGTTCCTACTGGCGTTGCTACTGGTTTGCTTCTTGTGCGTGTGCGCGGTTTCCTGTAAATGGCTCTGCGCAAGAACGTGAAAAACTAGTAAAACACAGAACGGCAGGGGCGTGGCCAGCCTGGGTCGCTGCCAGTTCTTTGACCAAGCCAAAGTACCACTACCGGTTCTCCCCAAAGCCGTGCAAACTGGGTACAAACCCACCTCCGATTTGGACTCTCGGCTTCTTTGAAATGGGCAAAGGATAGCTGCAGTTCTGGGTTTCTTTTTGCAGTTTATTTTGTTTTGCTTTTTTTTTTCTCTTTTCTTTTCCACTAAAGAGGTTCTCCTCCCAGTTAAAGACGTACCGTATTTTTTTGAGTATCAGACGCACCTTTTTCCCTCAAAAAAAGAGGTTGAAAATC